AATCAAATCTCAATCTTACATTCAAAACAGCGTGCGTGGATTTTTAACCAAGCTGAGACTACTTGTAATGTGGCGTGTGCGAAGCACTCTTAGCACGGGTCCTATCAATGAGTGGCATTCAGAAATCTGACGAAGGAATGCTTCATCAACGACCACCAGAGACTTGCTCAATCTGCAGTGAATTGATGTCAAGCTTAGTTGACGTGTTTGACAAGCAATTCAGCAATGATGGTGGTGGTGAGCGATACCACAGTTGGTCAGCAGCCTTTACTGAATTGAGTTGATGACAGTAAATTGTGGCTTGCTTATGATGAAGGTGATTGTACGTTAGTGAATGCTACAACCTAAATGTGACGCAATAACTGAGTTTGCGTTCGGTTATCGCAACGTGCATTGCACATTTACACGTAACTAGGCAAATCCGCCAAAGGATGCACACTAGCGACGACATGGGCCCGTACTTCGAGTGGAATTGTTCGAAGAACACAAAGTTAACAATCAATTGAATCGACGAATTTCCGTGTCTCATTCCATGAAAGCACACTAAGCAACTAGTTTCACTGAGCCTTGTGAAAATATGAAATGCCATTGCATTGAGCAGTTAACGTGGACATTATCGACACGTCACTTTATTGCAGCAGTCACAATGATTTGTTAGGTTCGTTGCCACAAACATGCGGTAAAAAGCATTCGTGTTTGTCGTTCTAAAAAGGACCCCTGCCACTACATTCACTCCTTTTGTTGTCATTGATTGAGCGAAGGAAATTGCATGTTAATTCTGGTACCTTTGTGTCAGTGTGCCATTGTGGGTTGAAGGGCATCCTGAGTGTTTGGCAAGGCACCAATGTTACATATTATTAACATTCTCAAGTCATTATTGCGAGCGGCTAGGTGAATGCGACTAGGGAGGACGCGAGTCATGTCCACGTCATGAGCGGCGATGCCAGCCAACTCGCGGATCTCAGACGTGAGGTACGCGAGCACCGCTGCTTAGCAGACTGACAAAACCGCTTTGATCGTGTTGATGTTTTACTCTACTTTACTTTATTTTTTATACTTCGGTGAAATGTCTAATGTGAATAATCCAGGATGGGGCATGGTGACTGGCAGTCCGACGCCAGCGTCGCATCAATTTGGCGTTTTGTCAAGCCTAGTGAAAGGCGTAAGCAGATGGCTTAACTGTGAGCACGACATCTCAAATGTGCGGCTGTCGTCGTAGTCCCGTTTGTTTGGGCATGCCGCCTTGGCTGTGAACGTTGTGTGCAAAGGTAAATGAATAAGTATTCTTCCGCAGAACCAGAAAAAAATCCTTGCATGTGGTTGACACAGTCATCGTCGTGTAGCTCACTAAGGTGACCACCTCAGAGCACGGTCTTCAATTCGACGATTTCTCTCAAGATTGAGCACCACGAATGGAAATAGTTGTTTGGGTGACTTATTTGTGAGCCGCAAGTTCTTGTTGCGGTTGCATTGAGTCTTCATCCAGTGGGGCTTGCAATTTTGCATCTTCAAACTTTTGAGGCTGCTGTCCGGGGCGCGGTTTGTCACTAACATCCAAATCATCACTTCTAGAACGTTTTTACCTATAATTACATGTTTCATAACACACAACGTCGGCACCGAGAACATTACAAATTGATTATTGTGCTTTCGAAGCATTTTTGTCTTCCTGGAGTTCGTACAAAATACAGTGCCATCGAATGTACTATTCATCAGTTGCCATCGTACACTCTGCTGTTGTGAGAGGTTACGTAACTCACGCAGACTTGCCATTGGGTGTTCTGAAATCTTGCGTTTGATCTTTTTAAAACCACAAATGTCGACTAAAATATTTCCTTGTTAGATACAATGTTAAGGTCGAAGAAAAAATCCGCAAAAATTAATTCATACACCCGACAAAGATGAAATATAAGTAATCATCAAGTTAGAATGGGCCAGAATTCCCCCTTCTTTTACCAAAAGAACAGTTTGAGCCAAAGGGAAGTTTTCGTCTTCAAGCGAACGTCAGCGCTATCCCGTAGAGTTCTCATCCACTTAGTTCCCAGAACTTAGTACCCACTCGATATGCGTGACTGAGCTCGTAAAACAAGCTTGTGGCGGCTCGTAGGAAACATTAGACCTTCAGAGAAGTCCTACAGAGGTGTCCTAACGATGACTGAAATTATGAAAGCTTCAATTGTGATTATATAATTAGTTCAATTAGAAGCATTCTCGTACGAAAGGGAGTTCTGCACGAACAATGCGAGTTAGAACCAGGCCAGTCAACAGCAGAGCAGCGTTTGAAGACTGATCTGAAGGATGACTAATTCGTTAAAGCACTTTATGCCGATAGTGGTGGATAGAGTCCTTGGAGTTAGGACAATCGCAAAACTTGCTTCTGCCGTTTGAAACTAGGCATCCACCACAGCACTTCGGTACGTGTTTGTCAATTCAACGCCATCACGAAATGAGTGGTCATATGGGAGCTGCTTTCACCACATCAGCGTTAAGGGCTCGGTTCTTTATACTGAAAGCTAGCAAGACGGTTAAAGCTCTTTTAACTACTTGTTTCAAATGCCAACGGTGTTTCTCCAAACCTTATCAACAAGCCATGGCGCCTTGATCCGCCTACCGCACCGTTGAATGTTGTCAACACTTTCGCCATTTCCGAAGTCGACTCTTTCGGCCCCATTCTAATCCAACGCAGACGCACCAACACCAAACAATACGGATATTTATTTACTCCAACTCACGATGAGTTTAGCCAGAGATCACTCTCACTCTCGACACGGACTAGTTTCCTTACTCGTTTAATATATTTGTAGCGCTAACAAGCTGCCCCAGCCATTATACGGTGACGACAGTAGCAACTTCAGAGAAACG